GCATGCACACACACACACACACACACACACACACACACGCACTCCAGATGCCAATATAAATTGTTAAACGCACTTTGAATATTTGGGCCAATATCTGACCAAAGGAGATAAAACCCCAGTGATGCATTATGCTAATCAGACAGTAGCAATTAATAAATGATATTTATTATTAAGTAGCAAGCGTGCAATTATTTCACACCAAACAATTTGACAGAAGATAGTTCAGTTTCTGAATAACTTTTACACAAAAATCAAACTTATTCTCAGTGTCCTCTAGAATTTATTTGGCTTTAGCCATTATATTAAATGTATACATCATAAGCCTTAAAACTACGTGTAGCCTTTTATCCGGCACCTCTGTTTTGAGGAATTCATCCTTAGTAAATAATCACGAATTTGTGCAGCAACTTAGCAATAGGCATATTCTTCACAGCACTGTTCACAGTGGAGGAAAACTGGAGACAGCCTAAGTGTCTGTCAGAGAAAACTTACCAGACAAGTCGCCGTAAGCGGAATATTCTGCAGCCATTTAAAATGATGATGCCGGAGCTTGTGTGATGGCACTGAAAGGTGACACTGTCGTTAGGCTAAAAAGGCAGATTCCAAAGCAACATATACTGTGCTGGCTTTTTTTTTAAGTGCATATGTGTGTATAGATGTGCTTAAAAAAAAAGGCTAGAGTACATATTAAAATGTTGATAAAGCTCAACTGTGATAGTTTACCATTTTTTATGCTGTTCTTCACCTCCCGTGTATTTTTTGTCACTTGCCTAGAGAAGGCAGTTAAATAATACGCTGAAGCATCAACGCCCCCGCTACCCTCACACTCCTCCGGTCCCCTACCCGGGGGAGCGAGCGTGTTGCTATAGCAACTGACAGAGTCCAGAGATGGGAAGTGACTCTCCAAGGCGAGTCGTGTGGGGGAATCAGGAGCTGCGTCTCGGGGCTCTGAGTGCTCATGTGACCGTAACACGTGCGGTGTCCTCCTGTCGCACGAAGGGCTCTCTGTCAGCGGGCTTCCCCCCAGAGGCGTCTGGGAGGAGGGGTTGCTGGAAGCTGCCCTGCTGCTGCATTTGCTCTCGGTCTGTTTGAGTTTTGCCCCAGGCCTTAACTAGCAGGTACGTCCGTTTCTCTCTGGGTTCTTACTTCTGCCTTTGTGTGTCTTCCTGTATGTCCAGTCCCGACTGACCAGCCAGAGCGAGGCCATGGCCTTGCAGTCGATACGGAACATCCGCGGGAACTCCCACTGCGTGGACTGCGAGACCCAGAGTGAGTGTGAGCCCGGGACGGGGGCCTGGCCTGGGCAGGGGCGGCGGGGTGGCCCCAGGCGGCACTGCGTCCGGCCTGCACCCGTCCTTCAGCAAAGAAGGTTAATTACCTGACTTAACGGCTCTTAAGGAGCTGAAATTTTTTTTTTTTTTTGGACTTTAACTCGATACCCTTCACAGAAAGCCTCTCTGGTGGCGCCGTTAAGTCTTGCTTGTGTGTTTCTTGGGCAGCCCGTGAGCCAGGGTCACACCGAGGGCGGAGTCAGCCACCTGCCGGGATTCTCTGCCGTATCCAGAACTCCGCCCTTGGCTTAATCAGTGATCGTGTGTTTGTTTGCTTTTTCCATAAAAATAGAGTACTGTTGCTTAGACCCCGTGCAGAGATTTCTGGGATTTGTTTTCTTCATTTTCAAAATCACGGCTTCTGGAGTTGGCCACCCAATGGTATCTCTGTTTTTCGTCTTAAATTGACTACACACTAGAGCATTTGATTGAGCTGACAGGCTTCATAACTGCGCTTCGGGCCCGACACACCCTGTTTTACTTCCTGTTTTCTGCCGTCCGGGGAGTAACACCACGTTCCCTTTGAGAAAGTCGTTCTGTCACTTCTCCCCTCGAGGTGAAGGCCTTACTTCTCATTCTCCGCCTTCCAGCCCTGCTGGTGCTGGGCACACTCGGTGAAGTGTGTCCGGTCACGTGTTTTGGTGGTTGTTAAGGTGTGTTTCGAGGAGGGGGAGGTCCAGTTGGAACAAGATGAAAGGCGCTGATGTGATGTGGGCCCGGCTCCCCGAGCCTGGAGCCCAGGGGGCGAGGCCTGGACCCAGTGACCGCAGGCAGGCCCGTGGCCATGGAGAAGGGTCATTAGGGACACAGCAACTCAGAGCAGACTTGGTGCAGGCAGCGGGCAGGATTTGAGCAGGTGACTGAAGGAGTCACTGTGAGTCGGGGCTGCAGCAGGACTGGCAGCTGAGTCGCCCTGGTTTGTTCAGGAAAAGAGCAGTGGCCGCTCAGGAGGCTGGTCAGGTAGGATTTTGGTGACCTAAGCAGGAAGAACTTGGGACTGTCGCAGACAGAAGGGAAGGGTCGGGCCACCTGTGAGAGGCCACGCGTCCGCAGGGCAGGAAGGAGGGGAGCATGGGGCCGCATCCGCGGCCTCCAGGTGAGGGGCCAGGTCTCCTCTTCGACTCCCGAGGGCCTGTGCCCACAGGCCACCACGCACTGCCTCTTTTCACTCTTGTGACTAATGGTTAGCGCTACGGTGGGTCCCCCTTAGTGGGGGGAGTGAAGAGTCTGAAGGGTCAAGTTCTGCATCCCAGGTCACAGGACGAGCAAGTCGTGTATCAGGATTCAAACTTAGCGCCTGGCCGCCCTGCTGTGTTTTCTCAGAGGCCGGGGAAGGTGGCAGGGCTGAGGTCAAGGGCGTGAGAACTGACACCTTGGCACCGGGGAAGGTGGCGAGACTGAGGTCGAGGGTGTGAGAGATGACACCTTGGCAGGGGCGCTTTTATTATTATTACTGTTGTTCTGTTGTTATTATTTGGGACATTTGTTTCCTCTTCCCAACCAGACCGTCTCTGAGGTCACAGACCTCTTCTTGTGTCCCCCATGGTATCTCTCACCGCCTTCCCACCTTTGTACTAGATATTAAATAAGTGACTACTAATTTCTGCTGAATTAGCATAAGGCCATTCCTGGGAATGTGTCATTTATGACTGATTCAAAATAAACATGATGTCAGCTACCTGGTTCTCTGTTGACTCTTCAAGCGTACCTGGAGGAAATATTGATTATTCCTGCATGATTGAAGCCTCCAGTGCTCCCGTCGGTGGTGAAGGCCATTGACTGTCAAAGTCAGCGCCCTCTTTGCCGATCAGCTGTAGATTTGGGTCCGAGGCCAGCCCTGGGCCCGAGTGCTCAGTCTCCTGACGATGTCCTCACAGGGAGGGGTCCCCCTCAGGGGTCCCAGCACTGTTCTCTGAACTCATTCAGCGTCCTCGGTGCAGGGTCACAGCCTAAACAAAACCCACTGCCATTCACTCCTTGCATCACGGTTGATCCTGCTGGTGGTACCCCAGCCCGAGGACCGTGCTTGCCATCTCGGTAGCTGTGACGGATGGAGAAACGGAGTTGCTTTGGTCGTCACTCTTTAATAAGATCCCTGAAAACCACACTTTGTCGTTGTGGTGCCTTTCTTTCGTCTGAAATTTGCAAGCATGCCCATCATGTCGCTGAAAACTTGGACGTGCCCCTGGTTGAAGAGTCGTCAGGAGGGACCGTACAGCTTTGGGAATGACTCCCCTGTCCCTCAGCACCCCTTCACGTTCCCTCTGTCAGCAGCTGTCCACAGTCGACGCCAAGTCATGCCTGATTGTTTTCCACGTGCGTCTGCCCTCACTAGGGGAATGCTGCTGTGAAGTACAGAAAAGTGCATCTTTCTGTCCAAACCAGTGCTTTCGGTTGTTTACTATGTGGGAAATTCCAAGGCTTTGGCTAAAGTCAGATGTTTGAAAGTTGCACCAACAGTCAGATCTTTTGAGATGCCTAGAACAGTTCCAAGGACTGGCCAGGGAGCGTTTTCAAAGCCACGTGGTTCTAAGGAGGGACTGCTGGATGGGAAATCTGACTCACGGGGTTTCTTACTGAGACCTAAGGGCAGTGGGCATGAGTGACGATGGTCTGATGGCATGAGGTGCCCTGTTCCTCTTCCCACAGATCCCAACTGGGCCAGTTTGAACTTGGGAGCCCTCATGTGCATCGAGTGCTCAGGGATCCACCGGAATCTTGGCACCCACCTCTCTCGAGTCCGATCTCTGGACCTCGACGACTGGCCCATCGAGCTGATCAAGGTGATGTCATCCATCGGGAACGAGCTGGCCAACAGCGTCTGGGAGGAGAGCAGCCAGGGGCGGACGAAGCCCTCGCTGGACTCCACGAGGTAGGGGCGTGGGAGGGCGTGTGGTTAGGGGGCGTCTGCCAGCCGTCCCACGACCGGGGTGGGAACTGCCCTCCCTGCCTGTGGGAACGCTGACTAACCTGGCACCCGAACGTCTGCGTTTAAAGTCGGTCTTCAGCAGACGTGGATAATTCAGACTCCTTAACTTTTTATGTTTGTTTTTACACTTTGCGGATTCCTCTCCCTCTCTTAGAAATGTATTAGGCTTCTAACCTTATGAATATATCACTTTAATTAATACATTTCTAATAGGCATAAGCTGTGCTGTTCACACTAATTATGAATTTTTGATTCTTTAGCTTCGTTATTCTTCTATCTTTGATAAGCATGGACTCATCGGCCTCCCCACCCACACTAAGTCAGTTTATAGTAACCAAATATATTTTATTTTCTAAAATATATTTCTAACACATTTAATCAGCCAAATATGGGGTAACGTATGGTGGCTCCTCATTAATGTTAATTGTTACCCAGTGTAAAAAAGCGCATTTATTTTGAGGCCATTTCGATTCTCATTTTTCATTTACAGCAATTAGAAACCGTTTTTGAGTACGCATGCATATTTAATGTACCTGAGAGGTGATAAAACGGCTCGTCTTCGGAGAAAGCCTCTTTCGCAGAGGCGGGATGGGCCAGCCCGCCTCGGCGGCTGCATCCCTGCATCCGAGGCAGCGGTGCGGGGTGGGCGCAGCCTTGGCGGCTCGGGTGTCTGCGGGGGGCAGGGAGGGAGGACGTCGCCCGTCGTCAGAACCGATCTGTTCTGCTGGTGATCAGACAGCGTGGGAGCCCCGTGTCCATCTGTGGTCCGGCCACACGCGCGGGTCGGGAAATTGGTCTGTCCCGCTAAGCAGCTGCAATGTGGCAGACCAGTGGGCTCGATTTCATTAACTCTGAAAAATGAATTGGTGGTGCCCCCTTCGGTTCACTTGAGAGAATGAAGCTGGTGTTATTAACCCTGCTCTTTGATTAGGTGCTCTGCGGGGAGGGGGCGGGGGAGCAAGAAAGGGGCGCGAAGTGTATGTGTTTAAAATTGCCTAGGTTGGCCCTCTGAGCGCTTTCTCCGTGAGTCGTGTCTTGTAATATACATGTGGACACCTCTTTTACCAACTGAAGAAATGATCCACTTTTACATCTTTTTAATCTGGACTTAACACTAATGAAGAAGTCAGCTGGGTCAGCAACTAGGGCTATTCCTTTAAAAGATTAATCCGTGTTTTAATGCCTGTTTTCTCATACATGTGGTTTTCTTGGAAGTTATTTAGGTTTGAAAAAGAAAAACGCTGGGAAATTGGATTGAATTTAACGTGTGAATGCAGAAAACGCTGAAACAAGTTGGGGAAAGATTAACCTTATACATTTGACGGTTTGTGTATAAAAGAGCATATACACTATTTTTAATACCGTGAAGTAGAAAAGTGTGTTTTTCCAACTATCATAATTAGAAACCATTTAGAAGGATCTGAAACAAAGATGTGGGTTAATTTTCTAGCTGGTAAATGCTTTATATTAATTTCATCTTCGTAAGTGAAGACCTTCTCTGTAATGGTATGTCATAGTTCTAATTGGCAAATTTGAATTAAGCTCCTGAGTATGTAACTGTATTGTACACATCGTACCTTTACATTTTAGAGACATGTCAAAGTCTTCCTCACTCCCAAGTGGAGTCACTGCAGTGAAGTCCCTGTGGTGAGGGTGATGTGGTTACGTGGTGTTTCCAGAGGAAGCTTTGGAATTTCTAAATTCTGTCCATTTCTAAGAGGATAAACACCATAGAAAATTCAGTGTTTCTTTGTGCCTTTATTCATTCTCCCAGAGAGTTTTGTTTTTAATGCAATTCAGCAAATCTTCATTGAGTATTAGATGATGATCACAAGCCTGCAGTGACTGGCGGCTGCTCAGGGCCAGCTGAGGATGCCAGGACGCGGTGGAATGCGTAGACAGGAGGGAGTTGGTATGCTCCAGGAGGTTCCTGGAGAAATGTCACCTGAGCAGGGCTTTAAAATCTGGAGTGACTTCCAGACCCGGGGGTGTGGGGAGTGTATGTGGCAGAGGATGCAAGTGGCCTAGGCAGAGAAGTAGTACGGAAACCTCAGGGCCCTTGGGGAGCTGGACCCTTGGGTACAGTGAGGAGTGGGGGTGGGCAAGGCATGGAGAGCTGGGGGTGGTGTTTTAACAGTGACTCTGGGGCGGGCAGAGGGTGAGGGGCTGGGTCTGTTCATGTGTTCGTGTATGTTTGACCTGCTCCCGAGAGGACTGAAGGCAGCCAGTGCGTCATAAGAAGGGATGGAGACAGGCGGGGAGGCCAGCTGGAAGGCTGAGGCCGGGGTGGATCATACGCAAAGTCACAGATACGCTCAAAAACAACTCAGCAGCACAGTGTGACAAGGATTCAGGTGCCTCCTCCTTCACCACCTCCCGCAGTTTCCTCAAATAGAAATACAAACTCAAAGTTTGGGCTAGAATGTCCCCGTGGAATCCAGTCTTCGATGGGAGGACGGATGGCTCGTCTGGGTCCTGCTTCTCCAAGACGAGGAGACACTCCCTTCCACCCGGCTCGCCTTGGTCTCTCTGCAGACCCTGCGACTGCTCGTACGGACAGCTGGAGGGGTCTCTAACATGGCCCTGAGGTAATACTAAAAAGAAATATTTTAATACGCTTGTATCTCTATCCTAGGAAAAGCCAAGTGCAGTATATCCAGTCTGATTCTTTGGAAAAGGGCCCAGCTGTTTTCCTGAGAAGCTTCGTCCAGTCTGTCTTGTTCAGAAGATTCATTCTGACAGTGGAATATAATTAGAAATGTGCCATTCCTTCCCCAGCGCGTGCGCGCGCGCACACACACACATGCACACATGCACACACGCACACACACTCACACACGCGCGCGCACAGACTCAGGATCACGGGGAAGTAGAACACGGCAGATCTTTCTCCAAAGAAAGAACTGAAACCCCTTGCACTGGTGTCTCCCAGACCTGCAGGGGAGTTAAGGAAACAGGCGCCCCGATCAGCCGTCTGCCCTCCTGCTCGCTGTCCCCACGCCCCTGATTAGGGCAGCTAGGACGGCCCATAATTGGTTCCAGTGATTCTCAGCTGCCCTGAGAACCTCCGTTCAAACTTGAACAGCATGGAGATCAATCGAAGCTGACGGCGGCAAAGCAGTATTGACTTCCCATTCCTAAACCGGGGAATCGTTAGTCAAGAAAAGCATCTTTTAATTACTCCCAGGAAGGAGAAAAAAATTCTTTCTGGATGGATTCTGCAACCACCACCATTTTTTCCTGGTGCATTCGATATTAAATTTATTGTCGCAGGCGGGGGAGAGGATGCCCTTCGCCCCCCTCTGTGATGGAGGTTTAATTTGGAAAAAGGAGCAGGTAGAGGAGATCGATGCCGTAACAATTAACTACATCTGGGGTGGAATCAGAATTCCCCTCTAATTGCTATTGATACCATTTAAGCACACACTTAAAATATTGATTGTGAACAGGGCGGCTGAAGTGGGAGAGAGGTGGTCCCAGTGGACAGAGCTCACTGGATGCTGGGGGCTCACACAGGGGCAGTGCGCTCTCTGCAGGACAGTCAGCAGTGGAGTTTGTGGGCTGCCCCTTACTCTGTGTTGTCACGTGGGGTTGGACACGGGGGCCTGGGGCAGCCCCGCAGGGCTCTGGTTCCAGTGTCAGGACACAGCTCCAAGGGAGAGAAATGAAAACAGTCACGTGCAGATTTCTCGAGTGAAGGAACGCACGAGTGAGTGAGTCAAAGAGGGAACTGGTCTGTTTGGAGTACACAGCTCAGGAGGGTCTTGCTGCCCCAGAGCCTCGGAATTCTTCGTGTGTTCCTGAGTGCAGTCCCAGCACACGGCAAAGCCATCTCGGCCAACCTCCATGTACACCCTCTCACCCTGGGCCTCGCATGGTGTTTCCGGAGCCAGTCTGCATCACCACGGGGGAGTCCTTCTTCATCCTTACCCCTTTTCACTAAGAAGCTTTTTGGATTGACCCCAGGGAAAATAATTTCCTGCTGGGACCGAGCGGAGCCCTCTGGTGCCACGTCCCTCTGGGCAGGAGCCAGACTCTGCTGGGCTGAGCTGCATTCTCCCTGCATCTTCCGTCACTGTGTCTCCGAGTTGAGGCCTTTGGCCCAGGAGGGTCTGCAGGGACCCGTGGCTGTTTGCATTTCAGTGCAGGTAGCCTATTTATGTGGAGGTCCGGGGGCCTGCCAATTTGGTCTAGGAAATCAAAGGGACCTAGAATGGAGAGCTGTGGTCCCCATTCCATGAAAAAGCCCTTGGGAGAAGCTCGAAGCCCAGCTGAAATCACCCGTCACCTCTTTGATTCCACCCGGAAGGGAGCCGCGTCAGCTGATGGAGGGTGCACGTTCTTCCCTCCCTCGGCATCCTTTCTCTGGTTTCCATTATTTGCAAGTTCACCTGCGCCCCTAAACTCCCCTCTTGTCTTTAACCTATAAAAAGATGTCACTTCGAGAGGAAGATTTGGGGCCGGACGTCAGAAACCCGCGTGGGAGAGACGGGCCGCACACCTCCTGGCGGAGCGAGTCTGCCGGGGACCGAGCGCCGTCTCCTTTTGATTTCTGAACGCTACTTTCATCTTATTTATGCACATGGAGATATTGATAAAGGGGAAATGTATCCAAACTGAAAATAATTGGATCCCCACTGCCAACTCTGAGATATTAAAAGCAGCACCACTTGGCCACGTCTCTGTCTCGTTAGGTTTGATCATAAGATCACAATATAGTAATCTCAGGCTCAAATTTCTGGCATAAAGATGCACTGATCCAAACGGGGCCTCTGGGAGCCTGAGGACCCACGCGGCCCCAGGATTGTCTCCTCTTATTATTTTTCAACAGTCCTTGGGCCCGCCGAGGTCAGTGTTTTGTCTCTTTTGAGTGTTCCTCTATGCTTGACACCTTTTCCTATTTTCTTTCCTTAAAAAAATTTTTAAAAAAGAGAAAAGAAAAA